GTACAAGTCCCTTGTCTACCGTTGTGTCATATTTACTTACTCAGAAAGATAAAGGTCCATGCCCAGATGAACAAATTCTTAGGAAAGTGCTCCTTTTATCCAATTCCCTAAACCACATATGAGTGACAAATATTTCCATAGGATTAATGAATAGGTATTTCAGTCTCCTCCACCCTTGTTAAATACTAGCTTTTTCTTTCTTACTTGGAACTCTGTTGAATTTGCATGAGAAACATTTTCCATATGTAATGAATCCAAGGACTTTTTAACCTATTAGATTTTGTTGTATGTATTGGTCACTTTTGTGAGGAATTGTTTCTAATCTAACCAAGAATCAGATAATCTGAGAATCTGGTACTCCTCCACTTAGAATATTTTCATATTTTGAAGCAATATACATGGAAATTATTTCTTGATAAGATCAAGAATTGATTAAGGAACTCATGTAGCTTTAGCCATCCTTGTTTTTATCATTTGCCAAAAAATTCCCTTTGCTTCATAGAAACCACACAGAAACCAAATGACTTGGTTTTCTTTCCACTTCTCTAGGCAACAAACCAATTTTTTAGTTTCCATGGACACCCAGTTGAGTAACAGTAGTCAGATCTGTAAAACTTCTATCTGTCTTGAAGTCTGATGGTGACCTACCCGTCAGCACTGTGACGGTAATTCAGACTCTGACACATATGAGACAGCAAGTGATCATCTGGGACAGTGCCAAGTTATTGTCCCTTGTCTTTTTCCAATTTTTTAACTTGTGGAGGTTCACAAACTATTATGCATCTTGTCTTGATATCTGGGTGGTCAGTTAAAAAGATCCCAAATAAGGCAGTAGGAATGGTAATTAAACAAGTCTGGTCGAAATAGATTTACTTACCACTTGGTGAAAAGCAAGGAGCCTCACATACTGATGGCTATGTTAACTCAGTTAAGAAATAAAACATATTTGGAAACCTTTGTAGAAAGCCCACAAAATACATTTGAAATGAGAGAAGTCATAGATTTATGTTTTGGTACATATGAAGGATAGCTCTGACTCTAGGTAGTAACTGGAAGTTTGCCACTTCAGGTTCAGCAGAAATACAAGGAAAGATGGAATTGTCCAGCACCATGTACTGATTTTCTAGGCCTATTGCTCCCTAGCCTAGGACACAACAAGTGACTACTTGGAAAGGTAAATCTGGTTTCCAAGTTTTGTTCTTTGCTTTTGCTTGCATTGTGTAAAATTCCCCATTTCCCTGTTGCACCAAAATTAACTTAAAAACTGCATTTTACAGACCATTAGTCAGTGTTGGGAATGGTGAAAGAGAAAGGCATTAAAAAACAGTGAAAATGGCACTTTAATTGGCATTAGGGGACACAGCTTTGTCACAAATATTCTAAACCATTGTAGGTATGTTATCTCTCTTTTCTCAATCTCTGTCTTCTCATCCATAAGAGGAGGGGAATGGTTGCTAATATTCCTTCTAGCCCTAGTGTTCTCTTTGATGAAATAGTCAGTGAAAAATCAATTTTAATTTCACTTACAACAGAGGCTGTGTCATGATCTTGAGAGATCTGGCTCTCTACAGGAATAGAGACTTCAAATTCATGCCACAGGAAATTGGATGAAAGAACTGATCTTGTACTTTCCAAAAAAGCCTCTCATCATTTGTATCTTTCTTTGTGTGATGAAAGGTTTCCATGAATGCCACAGAGGGAGAAGAGAGTGGGTTTTTCTCAGAGCATTTTATTTTTGGTTTGCTCCTAGGAATTTGAGAAAGACAAACAGAAATGGAATTTAAATATGTAATTTATTTTTTAAAGAAGAAATAGTAATAGATGGTAGTTAGCTATTAGAAATCAGCCAAAGTTTTGTGGATATATAATGAACTGATGATCTGAGAAGCTATATAGTTTGTCATTAGTAAATTAGAGACAGATTTAAGAGAAATGTTACAGAGAAACTTTAAACTTTACAAACTGATGGACTGACACATTTACATACCATACTTTCTTGACAGCTCCTTTATTGTATGCAAAATTTCCCATCTCACTAAAGTAACCTGGGCAAATATGGAGGAAAAGTCCTTCCAGGTAGAAGCAACACTGGACAGAGATGGTAGTATGAGACAGTGTGGTATGTGGGGCAGTGCAAAAATGGCTATGTTAACTCAGTTAAGAAATAAAACATATTTGGAAACCTTTGTGGAAAGCCCACAAAATACATTTGAAATGAGAGACGTCATAGATTTATGTTTTGGTACATATGAAGGATAGCTCTGACTCTAGGTAGTAACCGGAAGTTGCTACTTCAGGTTCAGCAGAAATACAAGGAAAGATTATGTGAGTATGAAGTGTAAAAAGGGGCTGGATCATTCAGAGTTCATGTGCAGATAACAGAAACCACGTTAGCAATTTTAAGATAATTGTGGAGAAATGTGAACAGAAACCAAATGAAAGGAGAGTCACTCAAGAGGATCAAAAGTAGCTATAACATCAAGAAAATCAGGGCTGAGGAGTGTTTAGTGGCTTTGACCATTAGGAAATCTTTGATGTCCTTAGCAAAAATAGGCCCAGGAGTAAACTGCAGTGATTAAGTATGAATGGGAGATGAGGAAGAGAAAGTGGGGTAGTCTGTGTGTTCTTGGAGGTTGTCTCTGAAGGGAAGGAAAGCTTTACCTGAGGAAGAAAGGAAAATGGAGGGACATTTTTATCTTAAGCTGCAAGAATTTTAAGTAGGTTTGGATGCAGTTCAGTTAAGAACTGAAGGCACAGGAAAGAGACAGATACTAGATGCCTACAGATTTGGAGAAGAACGATCCAGGGTTTAGGAGGCAATGCTGTTCTTATGTAAAAGGAGTGTTTCTTAGAAGAGTCAAAGGAGGAAAGCCTGGGTAAAGTGGATGTATTTGTAAGTTGGAGAAAATAGGAGAGTGGAAATCACACCTGATAGGTTATTTTCTTGATGATGAAAGAGGCAAATCATCTGCTGAGAGAAGGGAGAATGGGTTGGGGGTGAGAAAGGGTGGGGTAAGAAGTTTAAGGGAGAAATGGGTTGGGGGAAATGAGCCAGAAGTGATCAAAGACCTGTGTAAGAATTGCTAAGCAGGCCTGACCTTGAAGAAGTCAGGAGATATCTGAGATAAGGCATAAAGTAATATCCTAATTGTCATGACCTTGGGATATTTGGTCTTTTAGGATGTTGTGCGGGTATTTAGAATAATGGTGTTCTTCTATAAAATATATTGTTTTGGAGCTGTCCACCTGATGATTAGGTAAGGCCTTTAAATCATTATCTTCATCATCACCTGTTAATCATTAATAAGATTAAACTTTTATTTGTACTGCAATCTTGAGTACTTTGAATAGGAATGAAATAAAATGGTAGAAGTGTATCATTAAGGAAAGAATTTTCTAAGGATTTGAATTTTGAAGAATTCTTCTGTTTCTTTTCTGAAGACTGAAAGTCATCATTTTAGGTTAAACCTGATTTGAAAATTTGACAAATCTGCCCAACAGATTGAGTAAAGACACTGAAAGATGCTTAATATTTTTAGTCACCAGGGATATGTAAAATTAACACAATGAGATACCACTATATACCTATTAGACTATCTAAAATTGAAAAGATTGATCATATCAGGTATGTACAAAGATGTGGAACAACTATAATTTTTCATGAACTGCTGGTTGGAATGAAAATAGTTCAATCACTTTGTAAAACAGGCAGTTTCTTAGAAACACATACACCCACTTCATATGACCAAGACATTCCATCCTCAGATGCTATAAACATTTGTGTAGAAGTCTTTGTATAGACTACCCAAGAGAAAAAGAAATATATGTCTATATAAAGATATATGCAATGTTCATAACATTTTGGTCAAAAAATGGAAACAACAATGTCCATCAACTGGTGAATGGATAAATAAATTGTGGTATATCCATACAATGAACTACTACTTGACAATAAAAGGAAATAAACTACTGATGGCACAGTACACAGATGAATCTCAAAATAATTATGAGTTTAAGAAGTCAGACAAAAGAGTACGAAGTGTATTGTTCCATTAATAAAACAGTCTAAAAATTCCAAGCTTATGTATCATGAAAGCAAACAGATTAGAGGTTGCCTGAAGATGGTGGTAAGGATAGGAAGGAAGATTAAAAATGCACAAGAAAACTCTTGTGGGTGATGCATATATGTTCATTATCTTGAATGTGATGATGGTTTCACAGGTACATTTATAGATTATCACTTAGAAAGTTGTTCACTTTAAATATGTGCAGTTTATTATACTTTAATAAAGCAGTTACAAAAAAATAACATGTATGTTCAAAAATTAGAGAATGATTTGTTATATGGTAGTAAATTTTTTGAACCCAATATCTTTGAAAAATGTTTTTGAAGATGATTTAATATCATCAGAAAATGTTCATAATATTCAGAAATAAGTACAGTTCTGATTTTTAACAGTATGTTAACATTTGTTGAGTGTTGAATGAATGATACAGTGTTAAGTGAAAAAGCAAGATAAAAAATGCATATATAATTTAACATGTTCCCAACTGTGGTAACTCTCTCTCTTATCTTTCATGGATGAAAGAAAATTCCTCAAAATGCTAACATTGGTCATCTCTATGAGGTGGAATGACATCTGATTTTTATTTTCTTCTTATGCTTTTGGGGCTCTTCTAAAGTTAAGCTTCCATTTCTTTCTTTCACAAGCACACAAAAACTTAATAAATGCCCCTTCAGAGGATTCCTTACCACACAGGGACTTCTTGGTGCAAATATTTTTAGAAAATACACCAATCTAATTGAGGCAGAGAGCATCTTTTCCTATATGTCTTGCACAGTAACATGCTGCTGAATGGTGAGAGATTTTAGTGTGGGATGGTGGGTATGCTGAAAGGAAAGGCAATTATACCAACTGCAGCCTGCAGCTGGCTTGTGATATACAGCCTAGAAGGCCTACTTAGAAATATGTTTTATGTAGCCTCAGGAATTTGCTTACCTTAATCACTTCACCTCTAGCAGTCTCTTGGTAAAACAAGGTCAGACTAGAATAAATTTCCTGGACCACTCCCCAGCACAGCTCTGTCAGGAAATGTTCCCTGAAGTTGTCCTGATGAGAAAATGAGAGAAATTGTATGTGGGTGTTCCTGTAAAATGCAGATAACTCCTCAGTCTTTTGTCCAGTCAACAGTTAAAGGTGGGCCTTATGCACTTTTGACTTTTTTCCTCCTGAGTCAAAAAGAAAACCAGGATAGAGCGAGGCCTGTGGGGCGAAGGCAAAGGAGGAAGGCTTGTGAAGTGCAGGTCAAAGGTGCCGAAAAGTCGAGCAAGCTCTTTTGCACAGATGTGCCTATGTTACCTTCCTCCAAAATATGAGGGACATTTCCTGTGAGACTCTGTTCTGCTTTTTCTGCACGGGTGGAGAAAGGCGATGACTGGATACGTCTGCAGTGCGGTGTGATTCGGCGGGACGGGGTGGGGCTGGGGCCTGAGGGAGAGATGTTGAGACCCCAGGTGATGTTCATACCCGCACAGCCTGAAAGATGAAAATTAAAAATAAAATGGCGCTTGAGCTTGGGGTGGGCAGGGCAGGAGATGTACCCCACCTGGGAGCAGCAAGGAGTAGGTAGATAACAATTCTTCGAGTTTGCAATGAAAAGGGGCCTCCAGTAAACCTACATTGCAGAAAATGGGAAAGAAACAGAATGGAAAGTGTAAAAATGTTGAAGAGGCAGAGCCTGAAGAAACTGTGGTGGAAAGAGCACAGGAGAACTGAGTAGTGAATGAGAAGGTGGAGTAGGTCCTGACGTGGAAGGAGATGCTGACAATATTGGAAACCTGAAGATTTAGATTGTCCGGGGTTAACTGAACCATTTCTGAATTGTCAAAGAGCGGGTAAAGAAGAGAATGATACAAAAAGAGAACCTTTATCTGACACTGTCTTGCCAATGGGTTTCAGCCCTGGGCAAGTTCAGTATGGATTCAATGTGACCAAAGAAATTGACAGCCAAATGGTCTTTGGGGTGAAAGGGTTTATTAACCGCTTGTTCTCTGGCGGTAGGTCGAGCACTAGCGTCTCTGCCTCTGCTCAGAGCACTGGGCCGAGCTCTCTGTACAGTGCAATAATAGCTTATTGCCTACGGGTGTGGAAGCGGCAGCCCAGTAACAGGCCAGTTACATCATCAGGTGGTTTAAGTTCAGTGAGGATCCTGGCCATAGGAACCCCAACTTCCCCACAGACAGTGAACCTGATGATAGCAAATCAGAGATGCTGCTGAAAAACCAACAGGCTTTGCAGGGGCCTTGAATCTGAAGGAATGATTGGTGCCACAGACAGCAGTAGAGAGTTAAGTTTTCTCAAGAACCAGAAAGACTCAGATGAGGTAAAGCTGGTGCTGGCAAATGAAGCAAATGCAAAGAGTTCTCAAAATGTAATTGCTTTTTACGAAAAGAGGCTACCTTGGCATTCTTGTCCAGAAAATGAAACAAAACTCAATAATTATTTGCAATAATATATATAATATCTGATATATATATATAATCTGTGTCTTGTTTTTCTGATTTATTAGTTGAAGAAATAATTGCATTCTAATGAAAATCAAGTTTGATATGTTTGTTTTGAAGTAGTATTGGGGACTCCAGGTTTATTTTATTTTATTATTATTATTATTATTATTATTTTTAATTTTTTAAATTTTGGTATCATTAATCTACAATTACAGAAAGAACATTATGTTTACTCTGTCT